AATTGTTTCTTCAATGATTCAGACAAACTGTTCCATAATTTTGGCGTTATCGCTTTAAAAGTGCGCACTCCGTAAGACTTTTTTCCACACCAGGAACACTCAATAAGTACTGTGTTGAAGACCAGGCTCTTCAATGATACATGTTTATTAATCAGTCCCTTGAGATATTCCGGTGCTGAGCCATCTATGAGAAGTCTAAGAAAAGCACTCTGGCATATTTTTTGGGACTGTCTAGGTGATGGTAATGTCTCTCCAACAATAGTAAGCTAGCATCATCAGTGCTTCTGGCAGGTTTATAAGCAAATTTGTACTGGTCTATTTTTTGTTGTAGTTCATTCAAAATTTGTCTAAGAATAAGTTTCTCAAAATATTTCATTACAATAGAGGTAAGTTCGACAGGACGTAAGTCATTGTTGCAAGTTATCTTAATTTTCTTTTGAAGTGGTATGATTTCTGAAGTTTTCAAACTTTTTGATATTGTGTGAGTTACATAACATTTATTAAATATGTAACACAAGATGTAAGATAGCTGCTTTGAGCATAGTTTAACGAGCCGACCACTTAATTTGTCTGCCCCTTGGCTATGTCCACTTGTTTAAATAATGACATCACTTCCTGTTGGGTGAACAAGAAAGTATCATCCTGTGCAGTGCTGCTTTCTTTAAATAAATTCAACATCTCAATATGTACACTTCCTAAGTCCAGGCTGTCAAAAAGACAGTAAAAGTCATTTAAGTCGTTAACACAATTATTTACGTCCTCAACACACAAGCATTCACGCTTAGGAGATTTAGTGCTATTTGTTTTATATCTGCCCAACAAGCCCTTGAGTTGTTAGTATGGATTCATTTTCGATTTTTCGTTTGTATTGTTTTTTACCCTAATGTATTGTTCCTTCAATTATTTTTTAGCGTGAGTGAATTCCTGATCGTTAATCAGGATTTCTAATGGAGTATTTCCTTCCTTATTTCTCTGCTCATCCAGGGTTTGTTGCTGTTAAATACTCGGATTGGCTTTTGTTGGAATATTTCCTTTACCCAGAACTTAATATAGGATTTGACGGTGTTTGTTAGCTCTGTTGAAAATATTATATTGCTAATCCACGTTGCTAATCCACTTCACAAGGAAGATAATGTAACAAGCAACAATCAAGGTTAGTTCAACGTTTTTAATTGTAAGAGAAAACATGGAGTTCTACCACCATGGACAGAAGACAGGAACTGCATAACAACATGACGTTAATACACAATAAAATTTGGTGTGCAAAACAATGCGCAACATTCAGTATTTTGTCACTGTCCAACACTCCTTCTCAAAATACTAAATAAAGCTAATTCATTGGTTTCACACCAATCATGTCTCTAAGTATCTTGAATCTTTGCTTGTATAGCCTGGCTGTCCTAGCCAGATACCATCTTCCTTTTGAGTAAACATAACACTCAAAAAGGACTTCAATTCACCAAGATCTTTTGTGTCAAATTTTGATGAAATAGCCTTCTTGACACTAGCAAGAATCTCGTCGACATAGACTGCAACGATAACCATATCTCCTTCTGTAGTTGTATACATACATGGTTCACATGAGGACTGCTGAAACCCAAGATCCTTTAGGTGACTGTTAAGTGCTGTGTTCCAGCATCGAGGAGACTGTTTTAGTCCATATAAACTTTTCTTCAATTTACATACAAGGTTTTCCTTTCCTTGTTCAACAAACACTTCTGGTTGTTTCATGAATACTTCTTCCTCCAACACTCCATTCAGAAAAGCTGTCGTCACGTCCATTTGATGCAACCGTAAATTGCATTTTGCAGCCATAGCAATGACTGTGCGCACTGACTCAGGTCTAACAACTGGACAGAATGTCTCATCATAGTCCAATCCATACTTCTGTGAGTATCCTTGAGCAGTTAACCGAGCTTTATGTCTCTCAATTTTTCCCTCAGCATTTACTTTGATCTTAAACACCCATTTGCTTCCTACAGCTTTTCTTCCTTCTGGCAGTTCTACTAAGTCACAGACTTCGTTTTCTTGAACTCGCCATGGCCTGTCTCGCTGTACTGGGTTCTTCCAGATCCCGAGTCAAGTTTAAGAACTCACCATATCGATTTGTTGGGCGTTTAACTCTCGCTGATCGTCTGACGTCTAGCTCCTCATCTGGTTCATCAACACCTTCATCGTCAGGATCATCAACATGATTCACTTCTTCATCGACGTCATTATCAATGAATTCCCGAAACACAGGTGTTGATTTCTGAGACATTCCAGTCTCCTTCTCAAAACCGAACGTGTTCTCTACTTCTTCATCGTCGTCAATGAATTCCAGAAATATAGGTGTTGATTCCTGAGACATTTCAGCCTCCTTCTCAAGACCGAACTTGTTTTCATTAAACAGAACGTCTCTGCTGTAAATCACCCGATTAGTTTTCAAATTGCATAGGCGATAACCCTTCACATCGATTCCGTACCCCAGAAAAACGCATTTATGTGTTTTTGAATCGAACTTCTGTCTTTCGTCTTTAGGAATGTGTGCATACAATAAAATTTTTCTGTCGCCTCATCTGACCACAGTTTAGTAGTTTTTGTTTGAGTTTTTTTGTTTTTAAAATTGGCTTGCAGCATTGGGTTAGGCGGACTATTATGTGGTCGGATTCACCTAGTGGAAATAAAGCACGACATGTGTAGTCCTTTTTTATGTTACCATAACACATGTCCAGAGTTCGTTCTTGTCGTGTGGGGCTAGTAACTTACTGGATATATGTTGGCATGGATTTATTCAGAGATAGTTGATTAAAGTCCTTCATAACAATACGAACAGAGTCTGCATTTTTTGTTTCGAAATCATGAATAACATCCAAAATTCTCTCAGTAGCATGCTCCTTGTTAGCATTAGGTGGAATATAAATGCAGATGATACAGATTTGCGTGAACTGGTATGTAACATGAATTTAAAGTGATGCAGACTGCTGACTGCATTTTCTCGCTGGATCTCTTTTTCTATTTTTCCGTTCATGGGGAAAATACTTGTCAGATTTATCAAATCTGGGCATCGACGGAGCAGCTGACTCTCGGGTACGGCCTACTAAAAAGACTTAGGAAATTAGCAAAGCTAAGATTAGAATATTTTAATAGTTTACAGGTTGAAAACATTGACTAAACACAGCCGTGATTTAATATAAATTCTTGCCTTGTTTTTACTGTTGTCAACATTTTCTTGTTCTCTACATATATTTACAACACTATAGTTAAATGCAACTTTGTTGGAACATTACAAAACCAGTGTCTTACAGTAATAATCAATTCAACCAAGGAACTAAACAGCAAATAATGGTTAGAGGTAATTCCCCCAAACTATATAAAATTCGCACCAATTAGCACCGCTCCTGTGCGTATCTGCTTCGAAGCGAACACATCCTTCACAGTAGCAGAGGTTTTTTTGGGAAGAGGCCAAGGTTAACTCAACGCAGCCATTTTATAACATCGGTAGAGAAGTATAATAGCTGGATATTGCGTTTTTTAAACATAGTTTTTAAAAAAGTTAGATTAAATAACTATTTACTGATGAAGTGGAGCTATAAATAATATAGCAAGAGTGTTGGACTGTGAAAAAGATTTAGCGTCAGTTCACACGATCAAATGGGAGTCGCTTAGTCAATTATTTTGTCACGTGATATGAGTAAAAACGAGTAAGATTTCCGGTAGGCTGTATACAACACACTAGTGCTTGACAACAGTAGCCCGTTACACACTACCACTACACTACATTTCGTCCAATGAAAATTAACAATAAAATAAACAAAGGGGAATGACTCCTGCATCAATATTGAATAAAAACGCAAATGACGTCATGAGCACGCACGGAGCTCAACAACATCCTGCCGATAATAGTATTGATAGTTCCCATCGAATATCGCTCACACATTTTTCTTGAAATAACTTTCTTCCTTTAACTTCCTTTAATCATAACTGACGTATATTTATTGTCAAATGTATGGATTTCATTTAAAAACCGCATGTATTCCAGAATATTTCGAAAGGTAACATTTTTAAGTAACATGACATTGGGGAAGCACTGATGAAGTATCTTTTGTTGTGTGTAGCAGCCTAGTGATGGCTTACTCACATCACGTGACCAAACAATATGTATTCCAGAATATTTCGAAAGGTAACATTTTTAAGTAACATGACATTGGGGAAGCACTGATGAAGTATCTTTTGTTGTGTGTAGCAGCCTAGTGATGGCTTACTCACATCACGTGACCAAACAAGGAAGTGACTAAGCGACTCCCATTGTCGATCATGCACTTGATGCGATGTTTGTATGAAGCCTTGTCACAACTTTCAAACTACTATTTTAGCACATTCACAATTTTGTCAAAAAAAAAAGGAAAGAAACCACGCACACAATGTGCGTTTATACAAAAATTTGATGCAAAATTGGAAGCTAATTTGATCGTGTTAATTGACGCTTAAAGTATCTTAATTAGACACAAAAAATATGTGCAAACAAACAATATATGTTCAGCTTTAATGATGATTTAAAAAAATAAAAATGTAGACATGTATTTAAATGTTTTGTTTTTTGTACTGATAAAGGCATTTGCCACATCCGGCTAGCATCAAGATGGCTGCCTTATAAATTATTGTATACAGAAAATGTTTAAAAACACGAAAGTGATGCGTAATTTATTGTTATAATCATATACATTCAATTCGGGAAACTAAGATCTGTCTTGAGATTGAGACTACGCCTTGCAAGCATGTATAAGCTCGAGCTCTTGATTATCTGGCAATTTCATGTGTGTTTGCCTGATTTTTCTATAAACTAGGCAGGTTAAAAAATATATAAGTAAAACTTCCTTATAATGCTCTACAGTTGATTTTGATTTGTTTTTAACATTTGGTAATAGATTACTGAACTTGTGTCAATTTAATTAATGTATTAAAATTTTCGTTCCTGCAGGTTTTTGAATTTCTGAATATTCTCTATTCGTCTTTCATAGCAATTCAGACAATGGCATCAGAGATTATGAAAATAAGCTGTTTGTGCAAAAGGCTTGTCCTCAACTCCAGGTGTCTGATCTTGACGCGGCAAGCATTCAGATCAATCAGGTCAGGCCATACACCGAAAGATCCATCCCCAGGGGATTCCACAACGGTCAGCGCTAAGTGGGTCAACTGTAAAGCACGCACATTTACTACAAGCACCGCTGACTGGTACAGAGTCAAGGGAGATAATAAGTCCAGGAGAGCCTCTACGTCATCCCGCCGGGCGCCCAACTCCAAAGCTGGTGAAAGGAAATCAACGGGAAACCCGAAACGCTGCCGGCCGACATCTTCGAGACAAGTGAAGAGAGAGCAAAAAAAGATACGGAAGGGACCCGCGACGCCGAGCTCTGTGGAGTGCTCATCATCAGATGATTTGAATGCTGGGAAGAACACGTTCGGAAAAAGGATGACCTCGCTGTTGTCGTGTGCCGCTGGACGTGAGGCCATGAGAACCGGTACAATGAGACACATCGGAGACAATAAAGGTCTTGGACCATTAGCGGGACTCAATTTGTGGAGAAGGGCATTCTTTGTCAGGTGGATCACCGGTCAACCGTACAGAGGTCCAATTAGCGAGCTCGTAGTGTTCCAGTATTACGTCACCATGCAGAGCTTCAGACAACTGTTGTAAAGCAGTTGTAACCAATCGATGTAGAAGGGGAAACAAAGTAACCAAAAAAAAGTATACATATTAATGGCAGAGTAATTGAGCTTGGACAATAGCCAGTCAATTTTTAGCGCTCATAATAGACATACATGCAAATCATACAGACTGACAATGATAGTGTTGAATCTTCAGTAATCAAATGTACATATCTAAGACTACAATTGTGGTAACAAGAGTACTTTTATCATCGCATTTTTTTCTTAATATATCTGTCGATGAGCATACATGGTCGACGAAGAGTTACCATGTAGTTTTCAGCTGATGTTAACATGTTCAAGCTGAAAAGTTCTTAGAAACAAAGATAACTAAAAAAAAGGAGATAAAATGATATTTGGTCAGACTTCATGCTTTGCTCACCTGGTCAGACTTCATGCTTTGCTTAAAACTCCAAAATGTATGTTGGCTCACCTGCTGTCTTCTCTGACACCAACAGGAACCATCGGAAATAAGACCTGGGTATATGTAGCAGAACTATTCACCGAGGCCTGCAAGAAGAAAATTTACAAAAAACATTTAATTACAATGCGAATGTTTAAAATTAACATCTTGCAATAAATAAGCCCTTTCACTTGAAAATGACAACAATTGGAGTACACAAGGACACACCATGGAGAGTCGGTGCTCTGCGTATGCCCAGCTACAATTACCAGTACGCGGCCTTCAAGCAAGCACAGCTCTGTGATCATGTCAACGTGTACACGGCCAAGACATCGCCAATATTCCGAAGTGCAGACGAGGATAGAAAACGGAGGTAATAACAATATGAAATTGTTGATCTTGTGTGCATAAATTGTGGTCTGTGTACGTAAATTGTTGGTCTGGTGTACAAATTATTGTTGTTCTAATTCACTAATTATTGTTCAATTTATCTTCGCGATGAACATTAATCAGATGAGTCTGACTGTGTCACTTTCATTCAGATCATTTCCTCGTGCAGCTCGTGGTGGTGGCCTTGCTGACATCAATAAGGACACGTTGTCCCGTTATCTGGCCTTTGTCACAGACTTTCCATTTGCTCACACATCGTTTGAAACAGTTCAACTTACCTTGTCGGTGCCCCAGCAGACTGTTATTTTTATGTACATTTATTGCATCTGCCTTAGCAGGAAAAATGAACTTACTGACGCTATTTCTTCGTGATTCCCAGATTGTTTCATTGCAACACATTGACTACCACTTATATTGTATTAGGCGATATGAACTTTAACCTCCACAAGCTCCAGAACCCCTCTACTGCTAAGATGATGGATCTTTTGGACTTATTTAGTCTTCAGCAATCAGTCGACCAACCGACTCATAATCGTGGACATTTTATTGATTGGGTGCTACATAGGCCTAAGGATGGTGTAATTACCTCTACTTCAGTTACTCAAGGTCTGTCCTCAGACGACTTCTGTTTTGTTAGAGAGCTTAGCGTTAGTGTCCCCTCTCCTCCCCTCAGTTCAGGGTGATCCACAGTGTGCGTGCTATAAATAGGGATGCCTTTAAGCACAATCTGAGTTTAGAGGTGTCCCCCGCCTTCTGCTCTACTTTGGAAACCCTAGACAGTGCCTTGCACGCTGTGCTTGACCGGCAAACCCTTATTACCGGCCAAATTGTTAGGTCAGCACGGTCAGCTCACCTGGTATGCGACCATCAGAGAAGAACTACGCAGTGTCAAGAAAGAGGCGCCACTGAGGAAAGGAAGTGGTTGAGTTCAGGCCTTGCTGTTTATAAGCAGATCTTTTCCGCTGCCAAGAAGCGGGTGACTGAGATTTGTTATCAAGTCTTTGTATTTCAGCACTATGATCATTATGGGTAAAACCAGCAGGCAGTTGTTTGACGTCTGTAGCCAACTCACAGGAAGAAACACAAAGTAACCGTTTTCCGTCAGTCTATCTATTGCCTGAGCAACCAGATATTTTTTGTTATTTTTTACACGCAAAGTAGCAGAAACTCATGCTGAGCTTGATCTTCTTGACGTATCACCCCTTGAACTGCCTCCTTCTTCTGGCGTTAGTTCACATTTCGATGTTTTTTAAACCTGTTTCAGAACAAGAGGTCAAATGTATTATTCTAAAACCTAAACCTACCTCATGTTCTCTCGACCCCATTCCCACTCCACTGTTGGTTGAGTCATTGGATCCATTGCCCCAACGATAACCCATATAGTCAAAAGAGCTTGTCTGCTGGCATTGTTTCCTCTCTTTGTAAGACAGCTGTCATCAAACGATTACTTAAGAAGTCTGGTCTTGATCAAAATAGTTTTAAAAACTATAGACCTGTATCTAATTTATAATTTTTATCTAAAGTCATTGAAAAACTAGCTCTAAATTAACTTTGTACTTGCTTGAATGACCACTCTCTTCTCAGTACTAATCAGTCGGCCTATAGAACTTTTTGCAGCACAGAGACAGCTCTCTTGAGAGTCAGTACTGACCTCTTGCTTGCACTGAACAACAATGATGTCTCCACCCTGATCCTCTTAGATCTCAGTGTGGCCTTTGAAACCGTTGAACATCAAACCGTTTTCAAAACCCTTGAGAATTATTTAGGCATTGTTGGCTCAGTTTTTATTTGGTTTCAGTCCTACCTCTCCTATAGAACGCAGGCAGTCGTCGTTGATGGCTGTCTCTTCAGTTTTGCTAACTTGGTGTACGGATTGCCACAGGGGTCCGTTTTGGTCCTGTACTATTAACAATGGGAACCAGGCCACTTCACCTCCTCCTCGGAAGGCATGCTGTTAAGAGCCAATCATTCGCAGATGACATGCAGCTATACAAGCATACTTATCCATCTCTTGTCAAATCCGCTATCTACACCTTGCAGGAGTGCATTGATGATGTCAAATCATGGAGGACTCTCAGCAAGTTGAAGCTGAACGATGACAAAACGGAAGCACTCCTCATTCACAATCATAAATCATCCTCTAATTCAGCTCTCCTCACCTCGTTTCAAGTAGGTAGCTCCGATATAGAGTTCACATCCTCTGATAGGAATCTTGGTTACATTCTTTCTGATAACATATATCTCAATAATCATACTTCTCACAAATGTCACCCTGCGTACACCGCTATCCGTCAGATCAGCTCCATCCGCCACTACCTCATCAACAAAAACCCTAGTATGTGCTCTTGTTCTCTCTCGTTTTGACTATTGTAGCTCTCATCTGTCAGCGTCACCAAAAAATTTCATTGAAAAACTGTAGAAATTTAAAAACTCAGCTGCTAGGTTAGTTCTAAAGGCACAAACACGCGTATTCTTTCTGTTCCCAGGACACGCACTGAAACATGTGGTGAACAATCGTTCTCTTTTTGCATCCTAAAGCAATTGAATTCTCTCCCATTACACATCCGCAATATAAAGACCATCACACCCTTCAAAACTCCCAACTTTTTTTTCCCTTTCCAAACAGATTTCGTGAATGTCTTCGACGGGAAGCTGCTGTCGCATCTGGGGCAGCAAACTTCGAGGTGAAAATTTGGGATTTGATGTCATCCAACAGCAAGGCACAAGGTATGAGCTGACAGTATTAAATGAAAAAAACTAACAAGCCTTTAATATCAGCTTTCCCACACTTTCTTTATCCTACACACTTTACGCAATGTTTCCCCATTCGTTTGGAGCCTCTTACTAAAGTAAAACTCAATTTTAATAGAGGAGGAAATAGATTTTAATAGAGGAGGAAATAGATTTTAATAGAGGAGGAAATAGATTTTAATAGAGGAGGAAATAGATTTTAATAGAGGAGGAAATAGATTTTAATAGAGGAGGAAATAGATTTTAATAGAGGAGGAAATAGATTTTAATAGAGGAGGAAATAGATTTTAATAGAGGAGGAAATAGATTTTAATAGAGGAGGAAATAGATTTTAATAGAGGAGGAAATAGATTTTAATAGAGGAGGAAATAGATTTCTAAATATTAAATGAATAACAGAAGTAACGGTAAACTAAAAAAAATTTAAAGAACAAATTGGACTCAAGGGCTCCTAAAATAGGAGCCAAGGGCTCTTGTGTTCTTGTAATCAGTTTTTCAATTTGGGAACCCCCGTTTTCCTTTTATATTAAATAAGAATTAAGTTTTAGATGAAATAATCAGCATTCATTTTTATTAAGTAAAAGCATCTCATTAAGATCTTAAACAGGGTTTTTTGTTGTACCGTACAAATGAAGTTAAATGTTACGGAAAAGTAAAAAGTTATCTTCTGTGTAAAAAGTTAGTCCGTATGTGTCTATCTGCCAGCTTGTTACATTTATCGAAATATTATTTTATTCGTATACTTACTAGTATAAATGACCCCATGATAAACGACCGGCCCACCTAGGACGGCAGGTCTCGTAAGATTTTAATGGATGTCAGCTGTCGTTAACAGCTACGCCCAAAACCCCATTAATCATGCTTAGCCTGTCCATTTGGCAAATGAAGTGACTGGTTTCCTCCTTAAGGATTCGTCCCTTATCGGGAAACTTTCTTAAATTGTGGCTTTCTGGATATCTTGCTAGCACGCTCATTACAAGCTGGCCTCCGTGATGTATATTGCTGATAAAAATATATCATGGCCTTGGAGATTAGAGATTAAGAATTATAGTTTGCATGCTCTATTTTTAACTAACAATTAATCAGGACTCATCATTCCAAACAGTTGAAACCCTCGTTCTGCCGCCGGCTGTTGCAGCAGTTCCTGAACCCGACCTTCTCGTTCGGGTGAGGATCGGTGCCAAGGACTACGCAAGATGGCGTTTCGAGACCACCCCGGTAGTGACGACACAGGCGCGTGCGGAGTGGAATCATTTCCTCAACAGATGTCCCGAGAGATTTGATATTTCACTTCCTGTGGAGAGTCCTGGCACCAAGGTAAATGTTTGTTATCGGTGTTGGTGCGTGTGTGTTTATGGAGAGCTCTAATATCAACTTGGGGATATACAAGATCACACATAAATCTTACAAAACTCTATTCGACTGAAATCTTAAAATATGCCATGTTTTAAGTTCCAATTAAAAAAAATAAATCCAAGTTATATATGAGGCTCCAGAGGCACAATTGTATTAATTGTTAAGTCGTTTAAAAATAGTTTTTTCAATAGTTAGTGTTTTCATGCTTTCCAGAACTGCCCAGAACGCACTTATAGGGTGGGAAGCGCATGGGTCCCGTATAATCACGGCAAGATTTAAGACCAAAAAACGAAAAATCAATATGGACATCCTACAGGTGTACGCTCCTACCAACGATAGTAAAGAAGTGGACAAAGAGGATTTCTACAACAGACTGCGAACCCTTGTCCAAATGTGCCCTAAGAGCAATATGGTTATACTCATGGGCGACCTAAATGCGAAAATAGGCAGCAACAATAAAGGCTATGAAGAATGCATGGGAACACATGGTATGGGAGAGATGAATGAAAATGGTGAAAGACTAGCAGATCTATGTGCTACAATTGGACTAGTCATCGGAGGAAGCCTCTTCATGCATAGAAATATCCACAAGGCGACATGGATTTCACCAGATATGTCAACGGCTAACCAAATTGACCATTTCTGTATTTGCAATAAGTTTAGACGGTCGCTCCAAGATGTTAGGGTAAAAAGAGGGGCAGATGTAGCCTCAGACCATCATCTAATTATTGCCAAATTAAGGCTGAAACTGAAAAAGAACTGGACAAGCGAGGGAAGCAAGCGCCAACATTTTAACATCAACCTCTTGAAAGATGAGTCCAAGCTAAAGGAGTTTAAACTTACCATCTCCAATAAGTTCCAGATCTTACAGGAACTAGGCAATGAAGAAACAATTGACAAAAACTGGAAAGAAATCAAAGAGATATTCACGACTACCTGTGAAGAAGTGTTGGGCCCTAGGCAACAAACGCATAAAGAATGGATTTCTGCTGAAACCATGGAAAAAATCCAATATAGGAGAAAGAAGAAGGCAAATCTAAACAATAGCCGCACCAGAACCGAAAAGGCCAGAGCATCAACAGAATACTCAGAAGCAAATAAAGAAGTTAAACGTAGTATAAGGACAGATAAAAAGAACTACATAGAAGGATTAGCAAGTGAAGCAGAGGAGGCTGCGTACCATGGAAACACAAGAGAATTATTCAGTACAATCAAAAAGTTATCTGGAAAGTTCAACAATCCAGTGAGACCAGTTAAAACTAAAGATGGGAAATCAATACCTGATGAAGAGGGTCAGAAAAAAAGATGGATAGAACATTTTGAAGAACTCCTCAACCGGCCAGCACCACAACACACACTCAACATAGAGCCAGCGGAAAAAGATCTAGAAATAGAGTGCAGCACACCCACAAAGCAAGAAATATGCAGAGCAATTAAACAACTAAAGAAAGGCAAGGCGGCAGGTCCTGACAGAATACCGACAGAAGCCTTGACAGCAGATATTACGTCTAGCACTGAAATGCTACACACACTATTCAAGAAAATATGGGAGGAGGAACAGATACCGGCTGAATGGAAAGAAGGACACCTCGTTAAGCTCCCGAAGAAAGGAGACCTTAGTTCTTGTTCTAACTATAGGGGAATAACCCTGCTGTCGATCCCAAGCAAAGTATTCAACAGAATGCTGCTAAACAGAATGAGGGAGGCAATAGACATCAATCTTAGGGACCAACAAGCAGGGTTCAGAAAAGACAGATCCTGCACAGACCAGATTGCCACACTGAGAATTATTGTGGAACAATCTCTGGAGTGGAACTCGTCACTATACGTCAACTTCATTGACTATGAGAAGGCTTTTGACAGTGTCGACAGACAGACTCTGTGGAAGCTGCTTAGACACTACGGGGTACCACAAAAATTGACAGACATAATTAAGGCTTCTTACGAAGGACTATCCTGCAGAATTGTCCACGGCCAACAAACAACGGCGGCTTTTGAGGTACAGACCGGTGTCAGACAGGGGTGTCTGCTCTCGCCTTTCCTATTCCTGCTGACCATTGATTGGATAATGAAAATGTCTACAGAGCAGAAGAGAAATGGTATTCAGTGGACACTATGGAAACAACTTGATGACCTGGATTTTGCGGATGATCTGGCCCTAGTATCACACACACAGCAACAGATGCAAGAGAAAACCAATTATGTAGCACAGTACTCTGCTTGCATCGGCCTGAACATCCACAGAGGAAAAAGCAAAGTCCTTAAAATAAATACATCAAGCAACACACCTATAGCACTGGAAGGAACAAACCTTGAGGAGGTGGATAGCTTTACATACCTCGGCAGCATCATTGACATACAAGGAGGGACAGACGCCGACATAAGAGTGAGAGTTGGTAAGGCAAGAGCGGCATTTAACCAGCTAAAAAAGGTCTGGAGCTGCAGCAATTTGACCCTCCAGACCAAGGTCAAGGTATTCAACACCACAGTGAAACCTGTCTTGCTATATGGGGCAGAAACATGGCGAACAACAGCAGCTGGTTCAAAAAAGCTACAGACCTTTATCAACTCATGTCTCCGAACGATTTTACGAATCCGCTGGCCCACCGTCATCACCAACGAGGATCTCTGGCGGCGCACACAACAAGAACCAGTGGAAGAGTTAATCTGCCAGCGCAGATGGAGATGGATTGGCCACACCCTCAGAAAGCCCGCATCAAGTATCACGAGACAAGCCCTGACTTGGAACCCCCAGGGTAAGAGAAAAAGAGGTCGACCCAAAACAACTTGGAGAAGGGAACTGGAGGCAGACATCAAAAAGAGTGGGCACAACTGGGGACAGTTGGAGAGACTTGCCCAAGACCGGGATGCCTGGAGAGCCTTTGTTTGTGGCCTATGCCCCAGACGGGACGACAGGCGATGATGATGATGATGAGTGTTTTCTATAAATGCAGATATATATCGATATAGTATTTCATGTAGCTACTTATCAGAACAAGAAACAATCTAACATTGAATCAGGCCAGATCTGACTTTAATTAATTAAATCTGTGTATTGGTAACTAGTATTGTAGTTCAGTTTCTGTGTGTGTTTTTTCATGACAATACCACCATCAAGACTCTATTGAAACATAGCTATAAATATAGGTCACATACTCCACAATATTCTCAATTCACAAACCAATTTCATTCTGATCAATCACAATAAATTTTAACGTTTAAATGAAACATGGGACTGAGGTCCGAACCCTAAAACTTTCACTGTCTACTCCACAGCCCTATTATGACGGTGGCTACGCACTGCGTTACCTATGTCCTCACCTGACGAGAGGTCTAGGATTGGAACTTTGGTCGACCACGCAGTTTGGGTACATACAAGGCCCAGTAGACATAAGCCCGTTCAGAGAGATCCAGGTCCATAATGCGTTGGCAGACAGCAGAGCTAGGATCGCATGATTAAATGCTATAATGCCCAGAGAGATCAGAGTCCAGAATGAGACTAATGAGACAGCAGTGATGTCAGAAAAACAACACTACATTCCAAGACAGCAGCAAGGGGAACAACCAATCAAATGTTTTAAACACGATATCTGGGAACGCTCTTCCACAATTAAAAGACACAATTGTTCAAACCATTATGCTTGTCTAGTTTATTGCTTGCTCCCGTTGTTCAGTGAATCCTCTCTGCTTGCTGATAACAAACAAGTCGATTTGTAGAACAAGAAGCTAGGGAAGATGTTCACAGTATAGTATGATGTCAGTTAATGTGACTTGTCGTAGCAGCATATGTCATGTCATAGCAGAATGTGTCGTGTCGTAGCAGAATGTGTCGTGTCGTAGCAGAATGTGACACGAAGGCCTTCGATCTCTTGCGCTCAGATAAAGCATGAAGTCGCACATGGTACAATTCAGCAAACTCTAATATGGCAGGGATTCCGAGATTAAATCAAATAATTTCATAAAGCTAAATTTTTGTCCAGATGTACGTCATCACGACATCCAGAAAATGTCAGAAATGTGTTGAAACAAAGGTTGAAGAATCTCTAGGCAAGAATTGCGTATTAAAAATAGCACGGCGCTGTAGACATCATTAACTTTGAAATGGAGCCTCGGCAGAGCAAAGCAATCATTGGATATAATCCAACGCCTTTGCAACAATATTTTTTACATGAATCAAAAACTTGTCTCTCTACATGTTTTTCAAGCGTTGATAAGGTTTTCAAAAAAAAAAAAAAAATAGCAGGGTTTTCTGCATCATTGATGCCTCCACCCCTTGGGATCGGCAAACAATGCTAGAAGATGAAGGAAGACTTAACCCATTTCTGAAGCCAAAAATCACCACTATCAAAAACTTGTCTCTCTACATGTTTTTCAAGCGTTGATAAGGTTTTCAAAAAAAAAAAAAAATAGCAGGGTTTTCTGCATCATTGATGCCTCCACCCCTTGGGATCGGCAAACAATGCTAGAAGATGAAGGAAGACTTAACCCATTTCTGAAGCCAAAAATCACCACACAAAAAATAACTGAATATCCGATTAGCCTTTAAGTGAAAAAATACAAATAAAATGAAATGTGATAATGTTTTTATATTTAACTAGTTAAAACTTTCAACGTTATGCATGGACATCAAACTATTGATAAACATCAAACTATTGATAGACATCAAACTATTGATAGACATCAAACTATTGATAGGCATCAAACTATTGATAGGTAATTTTAAAAAAAAGAAAACTACATTATAACTGAATTATTTTCAAACTAGCCGTAGATCGTCAAACAAAGGTCACCATAATTCGTGAACTTCTCATCTACTTAAGTTACTTAACAAAACCTGCATTTAAGTAATACACTTTATAAGTTGACCAATTAGTGCTATCCCCCTCCCCCGGTACGCCACATACCCTGAACTGTAAATGACCAATTATCTCTAACCAGAGAAATAAGCATTTGGCGCCATAAGGCTGCGTTCTCTTTCCTGTACTGTATACAATATATACCAATGATATTCAAAGCTCAAGCGACACCGTTCCAATCTTAAAATTTGCTAATGATACCACCATCGTTGGCCTAATATCTGAAGGAGAAGGCTTATACCGCAACTTAGTTACAAACTTTATCAATTTTTTTGGTGCGATGAAAATTTTCTCCACCTGAATGTCTCAAAAGCAAATGATATGGTTGTTGATATCAGGAGGGTGAAACACTAGATTACAGATCTTAACATAAAAAATCAAAGTGTAGAGAAAGTAGAGTCATATAAATACTTAGGTGTCACCATTATTAATAAACTAACATGGCATGAGCACGGCAAAATGCTGTATAAGGAATTCAAGCAAAGACTGTTCTACCTCAAAAAACTGTACCATTTCGGGGTAAAAAAACAAGTCATTAACTTATTCTACAATTGGAAAATTGGAAACCTATATACTTAATGTCAGTATGACCTGCTGGTGTGGGAATTCATCGTCCGATATAAACACCGCATAAACCGACTAATGAAGAAAGCTAGGAACATAACACAAACTAAACACACTTCACTTGAATAACTATTTGAAGAAACATGTTATTGCAAAACTAAACACATTTTGGATGATATATCACACCCTCTTCATCACAGATACTTAGGATCGGCCTGTTCGGGACGAATTTTTTCCGTTAGGGTGAGGACTGAAAGATATAAAAATTCTTTTGTTCCCCACTCTGAACGAATGGGAGTCGCTTAGTCGATTGATTTGTCACGTGATGAGAGTAAAAACAAGTAAGACTTCCTGTAGGCTGTATACAACACACTAGTGCTTGACAACAGTAGCCCATTACACACTACAACTAGTAATTCAAGATGCCTAGGCAATGTTCGACTTTTGGCTGTTCAAACAGTCAAGTTAAGGACAGTGGTATAAGTCTGCATAAGTTTCCGCTTAAGGATAAATAAAATTTAAGACAATGGCTTGACAAAGTGGACCTTCTTTAATTATTCACATGAAATCTTGTTCCAACCGGTTATTAAAATATTCCTTCGCGGCACAAAGATTGAATAAACACGCACATGACGTCATGGGTATGCCGACATTTCGTCCAATGAAAATTAACAATAAAATAAACAAAGGGGAATGACTCTTGCACCAATATTGAATAAACACGCAAATAACGTTATGGGCACGCACGGAGCTCAACAACAGCCTGCCGATGATAGTATTGATAGTTCCCATCGATTATCGCTCACAAATTTTTCTTGAAATAACTTTCTTCCTTTAATCATAACTGACGTATATTTATTGTCACATTTATGTATTTCATTTAAAAACGCGTGTATTCCAGAATATTTTGAAAGGTAAAATTTTCAAATAACATGACATTGGGGAAGCACTGATGAAGTATCTTTTGTTGTGTGTAGCAGCCTAGTGATGGCTTACTTGCATCACGTGACCAAACAAGGAAGTGACTAAGCGACTCCCATTTAACAGCGTGCTCCCCTGAAAGTTACATATCTGAATGAGAACTAATAAGTCCCTGACGTTACTAAGATAACTCACTGAATTGCTTTTTTTTTTTTAATTTTTCAAGTGAAATAATTAATTATAAATGTCTTGTGTTATAATTTATTATTTATGTGCTAAAATGTACAATGCAATCATAAAACACTCCCATTTGTTTGGATCAATAAAAGAATCTTATCTTATAAGTTACATTCTAATTTCAAAATTACCGAAGATTTATTACACTATATCCATAAAACAAAAGAAAATATTACGCACCAAACGAACAAGCGGTATTTTTAAGAATTTCATTTAGCGCAGTTATGGGAAATATTATTTCGTGAAATCTCCTCGGGGCTTTGGTCGCCATGTCTGTAGTGGCATGCTAACTAAAGAGGCGCTGCCACCGACCCCTTATTGCTACTCGGGGAATATGGCCACCACTGCGTGATCTTGCATGGGCAGAAAAAGGGCATGCATAGTATCTGCCAAAATTGTAGCAACTACAGTGCGAACTTGTAGCCATTGCAGAGGTGTAGCGAGAGTGTTTGGCGCCCGGGGACACGATTCACGCCGAGGGACAAGATTCCTTTTAAAGAACCCCCTTTTCTTGGTTCAACTGTAAAATCCATTATTTTAGTCAATAAAATAATATCACAGCACATTTTGGTGCCCCTAGCTACCTGGCACCCGGGGACATCTGTTCCCCCCGCCCCCACCTTCGCTACGCATCTGAGCCATTGCATGCTGTGGTCATATCTGCAGTTGAAATAATGGTAGAAACAGGGAAGTGATTACGAATACTATGCTGCCGCTGATGGATATGAGGCATGAGGCGGGTAGTGGCAACCTTAAACTAATGATACTACAAACACAGCCACTGAGGTGGTTGTTTCTAGGCAACTGTTTCGTCCAAGCTACTTCATGAACTATTTACGAGGTAGGAACCAACTGTACAAAACCCTACTAGTGGGCGCCCCATGATGGGCAGGGGGAGATATTATGACATAAAGGCACCATCCTGAACTCTGGGAAAGTCTATTGCTGGTGTTATGAGAACAACATAAGAGACCGACCGGATATCTTTGGGCTGAGATGGCCCCCATAATGCTGATCAATCGAGTGAAGTTCCGGTGGGGGTCGGTCGTAGCAGGAGGAGATCTCTAACGTGGCGCTTCGTGGCCCGATAGCTAGGGGACTTTTCGGACTGGAAAAGGTTGGGGGGGGGATACTGTGGGGAGAGCGTTAAAAGTTTTGGCTCGACTGTTTATCGATGGCATTTCCTTGTGTAAATATTGACTGAAGTAGCGCCATCTGGTAGCGTTAATGACATTGGTACAAGAGAATTGTCTATTTTGATGGATGATTTATTCATGGTAGTTTAAAAAAAATTAAAAAAAGGGGGTGGGGTGACTCACACAAAACCGTTTATAAAACCCCTGCCTTAAATAATATTCAATTTTTTTACTAGAATATTGGAATGACCTGGCAATTGATGTTTCTTTCTATGATGGTAGAAGGATGTTTTTCCCTCAAGCGATCCGCATCATTCACCTTTCTAAGAGTTGCATTGAAACAAGGCCAGACAAATACTCCAAGAGTTTTCCTAATGCAGTATTAAGCCGAGCTCTCTACGAATCCAAGTTTGATGATGTACCAAAGATTCTTCTGTTAACTCCCCCCGATTTCTCTTTCACGTGCCTCGTTCGACTAGCTGAGCAAGGCTTAAGACGATTGAGACGTACACATGGTAACAGCGGGATGTCCTTGACTTCTTCGGGCATCGTCAATTCACAGAGCTAATTGACCTCTTATTTTTAGGAATGCGGTATCGGAAGAAAAAAGTGTTTGAGAATCAGACTCTGTGGTAATTTATACCAAAAGCTTCGCATGACGTCATTGCGATAAAATACTTTGATGCCAAGGAGATAAAAAAAATAAACAACTTCTTTAATTACAAAAACTGCGATGTCAAATCAAGTAATTTTTTGGCTACAATCCAAGCCCAAAAGTTCATTTCCCGACTAAAGACTTTTTGTAAATGACATAAATAAGACGCAAAGGTTCTCAAAAGTGAGGCATCTGTTCTTGAGGCATTACCAATCGGTCCGCAAAAGAAAAAAACAATTTAGAAGATTATAAAAAAAGAAA